TTCTCCACCAAACAAAGAGGACCTGGGAGGACCACTAGCCTGGGAGGACCACTAGCCTGGGGACAGTTGTGGAGCTGTGCAACCAGGCCTCCAATGCTGAAAAACAGCCGACAGGGTATCTCCGGCCCGTGGGCCACTTGCACCTCACAAGCTAGGGGAGAGATTAAACACTTTGGTTTCCTTAAGGCAAAGCTGATGTTTAAGAAAACCTAGACCCTTATGATGAGCACACTCCAAGTCCAGGAGACTGGACAAAGCCCTCTTTTACTTGCTTATGGCCACAGCAAATCTCCCTGCCCAGAGTGCACAGAGGTTTGGAAGTGAACTCATCTCGCACAGGTTCCCACGGAGCAGGGTCGTCACATCGAGGGCCTCATGGCTGCACATCTGAGAGCCCCAGGTCCTTAGCCCCACTCCCGCCTCCTCTCCCGGGTGCTCCCTGCAGCTTCCTGTCCGTCCCCCTCCTGATGGGGTGGAGGAGAAGGAGGAGGGTTCCAGTCCTGGAGATAAGGCATCGACAAGGCCAAGGGGTCTTCCCAGTGTCAAAACTGCTTCCTGTTAGTATACACTAAGCTCACAAAGCACTATTATGCTAACAAGTGAGGAGTCCGAGTTACGGGAGGTGGCCGCATCTGTTAACTCTGCTTCCACGTGCAGATCCTCAGAGTGAATTTATGGGACTGGGGGAGGATGGAAGGAAGAAAAAGTCCCGTCCTACTACCCCCAGAATTGAACATTTAAACTGATGTGGCTAATTTGAATTTTGAATTACGGTTAACTGATGTGAAAGAGATTTGTCAGTTTCAGCAATAGACTTTAACATAATTGTGTCCTATTTACCAACAACTACTAAAAGAGGTGCCTGATATTTTGCAATAGAACAAAGTACAAGATGATTCTATTTTAAGAAAAGGCAATGATGGGTCAGGTGTTTGGCACAGCAGCCAGGACACAGCCTGGCATGCCACATCCCACGTTGGAATGCCTACGTGGGTTTGATTCCTGGCTCTGCTTCAGGTTCCAGCTTCCTGCTAACGTGCACCCGGGGAGGAAGCTGGTGATGACCCAACGGTCCCGGCCGCCCAAGTGGGAGATCCAGATTGAGTTTCTTGTTCCTGGCTTTGGCCTGGCCCAGTCCTGGCTGTTGCAGGCATCTAGCTAATGAATAAGCCAGCAGATGGGAGATCTCTCTCTCTCCCTTGCAAATGAACTAAAATAAATAGCCTTTCAAACAGACAAAATCAAATAAGTAAAATTTTTTTATAAAAAGAAAAGGCAGTGAGTTTCATTTGGCCAGCTCTCCTGCCTTGCTGCTCTCCTGTGATCTTTACTGTGGCAGATTTATTGGGTTTCTGGATATTTTTTCCCTTCAAATACTTGACACTACAGAGAACTTGGCCTTGAGAACCAAAAAAGACAAGGAGATAACATTTTAAAAGCAGGGACATTGAATTTAGGTAGGAGTAGAAAGGGCCCCCAAGGCTAACTAGTTCTTTAAAGAAACAGCATCAAGAGGCTGTATCTAGGCGCCGCGGCTCACTAGGCTAATCCTCCGCCTGCGGCGCCAGCACCACGGGTTATGTCCCGGTTGCCTCTCTTCCAGTCCAGCTCTCTGCTGTGGCCCGGGAAGGCAGTGGAGGATGGCCCAAGTGCTTGGGCCCTGCATCCACATGGGAGACCAGGAGAAGCACCTGGCCCCTGGCTTCGGATCAGCGTGGTGTGCCGGCCGTAGCAGCCATCTGGGGGGTGAACCAACAGAAGGAGGACCTTTCTCTCTCTCTCTCCCACTGTCTAACTCTACCTGTTAAAAAAAAAAAAAAAAAGAGGATGTATCTATATAGGGAAAAACTCTTCTTCAGGAATGGGCTCATGAGATTGTAGAGGCTTGGCCAAGTCCAAAGTCGGATGGCGCAGGCCAGTGGGCTGGAGACTCGGGTGCAGGCAGCCTGCTGGGGGCGGGGGTGGGAGGGGGGATCTTCCCTATTCTAGTAAGAGCTGCAACTGATTGGACGAGACCCACCCCCATTATGGAGGGTGATCTGCTTTCCTCAAAATCTACTCATTTAGATGTTCATCTCATCCAGAAAAACACCATCACAGAAACATCCAGAGACACATTTGATCAAATATCTGGGCACTGTGGCCCAGCCCAGCTGCCACACAACAGGAGCCATCACACTAGGGAAGTGGTCGTAGCTCCGAGTTCCCAGAAGTGGCGGCTCCTCCGGGAGCACAATGTTGGACGGTGCTGGGAAGCCGCGCGCGGCAGAGGTCTTCCAGGGCCGCCTCTGCTGGGCGCGGAGCTTCAGTTTGGAGGTCGGAGGAGGAGCCAGGGCTTCTGCAGCAATCGGAAGCCCTGGGCACCAGAGGGTCTTGGAGCTGGGAGGGATTTTGGAACCCTTAGGGCGGTGGGTCTCAGGCCTGAGTAGGCATCAGAACACCCTGGGGGCTTGTGAAGACAAGTGGCCGGGTCCCACTCCAGGTTCAGTGCCTCGTTCTGAGATTTGCGCAGCTCCGGCAAGTTCCCAGACTGTTGGTCTGCGAATGACCTTTTGGAAACCTCTGGTGCGAGGCCTTGCTCTTCTGAGTACGGCCATGGGGTCCGGCAGCGGCACGAACCAGGAGTTTCCAAGAAATGCACAATCAGGCCCCACTTGCCCCCTCACCCCAGGATCTCACGGTGACATGGTGCCTAGGAAATTCGTGTGCACATGAAAATCGCAGGAACGCTGATCTGTCGACCAGCCTCCTCTTGCAATGAGGAGAATTAGACGCCAGCAGTCGAGTCCCTAGCTTGAGCAGGTGCCTGAGTGCCTGGTGGCTGGGTTCTCCCGCACACCAGGGCCTTCCCCCGCGGGGCCTGCGTGCTGGACTCACTTGGAGAACAAGCACGGACGTGAGCCCCCACGGCACAGATGCTGCAGTAGTTGGGCTGGGGTAGGGCCTGGGCCTGGCATGATTTTAACAAATACTTCTAGCTGATTCTATTGTGCAGGCAGAATCAAGAAACACAGAGCCCACATTCAAGACTTTCTCTTGTAGAGTCACTCCCTCCACCTCACTAAAAAACCACCTGAGGCCTGTGCCGCGGCTCATTAGGCTAATCCTCCACCTTGTGGCGCTGGCACACCAGGTTCTAGTCCCGGTCGGGGCACCAGATTCTGTCCCGGTTGCCCCTCTTCCAGGCCAGCTCTCTGTGTGGCCCAAGTGCTTGAGCCCTGCACCTGCATGGGAGACCAGGAGAAGCACCTGGCTCCTGGCTTCGGATCAGCGTGGTGTGCCAGCCACAGCGCGCCAGCCGTAGCGCGCCAGCCGCAGCAGCCATTGCGGGGTGAACCAATGGAAAAGGAAGACCCTGCTGTCTCTCTCTCTCTCACTGTCCACTCTGCCTGTCAAATAAAATTATATATATATTAAAAAAAAAAAAAAAACATCTGAAACCTGTCTTCAAATGGCCCCCAGAGAGTCTCTCTATTAAAAAGAAAACACTGCCTGGCCCTTTTAGTGATGATGTTCATTGGGGATTATTACTATTATTATTGGGACTGGCCACAACATGTTTCAGAAGCCCCTTGCAAATGGTTTGCAAGGCCAGTTCCCGCTGAGCCCACAGCACCTACTGCCCGTGAACTTCAGCCACGCTCCACCACAAGAACCTCCTCTTCCCACCACGCACACTGGGCAGGAAGTCCCTCCTACCTGCCTCAGCAAGTCTTGCTGTTTCCTCACTGAAGGTTTTGCTTCCACAGGGACCCCATGAGGACTGAATGACAACTAGAGACAGAAATGCAGAGGGGAGGTGCAGCGGGTGGCGCAGGAGTGAAGTTGCTCCTTGGGACGCTCACATCCTAAACTGGAATCCCTGGGCTCTGGCTAGCTCCTCTGCTTCCTATCCAGCTTCCTGCTGCACGCACCCTGGGAGGCAGCAGGTGATGTTCCAGGCCTGGGGTGCCTGCCACCCCTGTGGGGGACCCGGATGGCGTTCTGGGCTCCTGCTTTCAGCCTGGCTCAGCCCTGAATATTGCTGGTATCTGGGGAGTGAAACAGTGGATGGAAGATCTTTCTCTCTCCCTCTGCCTTTCCATTAAAAATGAAACTAAACAGATAAACACATAATTTGTTAAAGGGGCCAGGAGAGGGGGGCTTCCCAAGAACTCTAGTTGGGGGGATGACTGGGGAAGAAGGTGGCCACCTGTGCAGGGACCCAAGTGCTCGCCCACTCCTCCGGCCAGTGCTGGAAGAAGTGGACATAGGGCTGAGAGCCCGTGGTGTGGAGCCAAGGCTGAGTCAGCAATGGCTCCCTCCCACCAGACGGTGGGAGCTTGGGACCAGCAGTTGGGGACCTGGGACGGGGCGGAGGGGCTGCTCCTTACAGGAGGAGACCTGTGCTGGGCTCTCCCTGGGGGAGGATGCTGTGCAGACGTGCAGGCCATTTGGTGCGCGGGTATCTAAGTTGATCTGGAAGGATGGAGCACGAGGTCAGGCCCAGCCCCAGCCTCTTCCGGTGTCCCGGCGCCCCCTTCCTCCTGGGATGCGGAAGGGGGAAGCAGGTGTAAAATGAAAAGCCCTTGGGGCCGGCACCGCAGCTCACTAGGCTAATCCTCCGCCTTGCGGCGCTGGCACACCAGGTTCTAGTCCCGGTTGGGGCGCCGGATTCTGTCCCGGTTGCCCCTCTTCCAGGCCAGCTCTCTGCTGTGGCCAGGGAGTGCAGTGGAGGATGGCCCAAGTGCTTGGGCCCTGCACCCCATGGGAGACCAGGATAAGTACCTGGCTCCTACCATCGGATCGGCGCGGTGCGCTGGTTGCAGCGCGCCGGCTGCGGCGGCCATTGGAGGGTGAACCAACGGCAAAGGAAGACCTTTCTCTCTGTCTCTCTCTCTGTCCACTCCTGCCTGTCGGCATAGTCAGAAAATGAAAAAAACAAGATCGCGCCCTTGGGCAGGCAGGTGGGGCGTGAAGTGTCCCGCCCCCTGGCGCCGCCTGTCGCCTGGCAGCGGCCAAGCACTCGGTTTCCAGGGAAGCCGCAGGATCTCTCCCGGGCTGCTCCACCGGGCCAAGCGTCTGTACTTTACAGAGCCCTGTCGCCCACAGGTCCCCCTGAGGACCAAGGGACCTCCTTTCCTGCCAGTCTGCGTCCTGCGCCGCGCTCTGGGCTGCGCCCGACGGCCCCCGCCGCGAGGTCATCGGGATTCCTCAGAGCCCGAGCCCCACGGTCACCGCAGCCTCCCGAAAGGCTCTTCTCCCCGCGCCCAGCCCCTTGGCGGCCACTGCTCCGCAGCCTCCGGCCGAGACCAACCCTGGCTGCCTTCTGCAGGGCCCTGGACGCCACGGGCATCGTGCACGCCTGTGAGTGGGTTGCGGGGCTGTGGGCGGGGAGTGCCCGCTGAGAGCCAGGTAGTTGCGGCACCCGGAGCTCGGTGGCCCCGGGGGTCAGTGACTGGGGCAGGGGCTCCACCGGGGTTGTGCGCCCCAGCAGTCCCCATTGGCTCCCGAGGACAGCGCCCTCCCCACCCGGATGGCAAGGAACCCCCACGGCGGTTCCCAACCTGGGGCTGGCAGCTAGGGGTCAACAAGGGGTTACGTACTGCTTGTCCGGAAGCCTGGAAGCCTGGAAGCCTGGGAGAGCGATGGGAGAGCAGCGCCCCCTGCGCGGGGACTCCTCGGCAGAGCAGTACCTGAGCAAGCTAGGCGAGCTGGGGACGCGGAGTCGGCTCTGTTGCACCCCACCCCGCCCTTCCCCATCTCTGGGAGAAGGGCAGAGGGCAGAGCCCGGCCGCCCTCCCCCTCCCCTCCTCGGTCCCACCCCCACTGTCCCACTCCCAGGAGGCTAGAGAGGGAGACAGAGTGACCTTCAAGTGAGATAAGTAAAACTAGCGCAGGCTCGGGCCCATCAGTACTCACTCTTGGCTCAGCCAATCGATGCTGACTTTGAAGCCTCTGGGTACTTGCTAAGGAGGGCACTGGCACCCACTGCATAAAACAACCGCATAAACGCTCGCTGCAAAATATTCGGTGGAAAATGCAAGGGGCACACATGGCCTCAAGAGCGCCCCCAGAACCTGGGGAGGGGGAGCGGTTGGTGGCTCTGCCAACCCCAGGAAAGGACAGGAGAGAGAGACCCTGTAACAGGAACACCTGTGCCACCTGCCCTGGCCAGCTCCTGCTGCCCCAGCGGAGTGCCAGGCACAGTTTTTGTTTGTTTGTTTTTAGACAGGCAGAGTGTGAGAGAGAGAGACAGAGAGAGACAGAGAGAGAGAGAGAAAGGTCTTCCTTCCGTTGGTTCACCCCCTGAATGGCCACTACGGCCGGCGCGCCGCACCAATCCAAAGCCAGGAGCCAGGTGCTTCCTCCTGGTCTTCCATGCGGATGCAAGGCCCAAGCACTTGGGCCATCCTCCACTGCCCTCCCGGGCCACAGCAGAGAGCTGGACTGGAAGAGGAGCAACTGAGACAGAACCCCGTGCCCCAACCGGGGCTAGAACCCACAGTGCTGGTGCTGCAGGCAGAGAATTAGCCAAGTGAGTCACAGCGCCAGCCGGCACAGTGGTTTGGGCAACAGTAATTTACTTCTCACAGCTCTGCAGGCTGGGAGGCCCAAGACCAGAGATGCCAGCCAGGCCCATTTCTTTCCATGGCCTCTTCTCACACAGGTGGAGGGGCACACCTCACTGTGTGCGCTCAAGCGATAATAGAATATTATACAAATATTATACAAGTAGTAATAGATATACAGATAGTAATAGAATATTATACAGATAGTAGTAGATATACATGTAGTAATAGATACACAGATAGTAATAAATATACAGATAGTAATAGATATACAGATAGTAATAGAATATTATACAAATAGTAATAGATACACAGATAGTAATAGATACACAGATAGTAATAGAATATTATACAAATGAGGTCTGATTTGAAATTGTGAGGGACCTAATAGTTCACACAGCATCCAATAGCCTTTCTCTTGAACACGTAACAGGTCCCGTAGGGCCCTGCAAGCTCATGACAGTGTCTCCAAGCAGCTCTGTGTGCAGTTTCAGAACTGTGGTTGTAGGGCTCAATACACTACTAGAGATAAAGAGGGATATTAAATAACAACTAAGTGGTAGATGCTCCCAGGAAAATCAATCAGTTCTAAATGTATAGGCACCTAATAACATGGCTTAAAATATGTAAAGCAAAACTGGTAGAATTAAAAGAAGTTGACAAATTCACAATAGACTTCTCTCAATAACTGATAGAGGGGCTGACACTGTGGTGTAGTGGGTAAAGCCTCTGCCTGCAGTGCTGGCATTCCATATGGGTGCAAGTTCAAGTCCCAGCTGCTCCACTTCCAATCCAGCTATCTGCTATGGCCTGGGAAAGCAGTAGAAGATGGCCCAAGTCCTTGGGCCCCTGCACACACTTGGGAGACCTGGAAGAAGCTCTTGGCTCCCAGCTTTGGATTGGCCCAGCTCTGGCCATTGAAGCCATTTGGGGAATGAACCAATAGATGGAAGATTTTTCTCGGCTTCTGTAATTCTGCCTTTCAAATAAATAAATGATAGAATAAGCATATACAAATTCAGGAAATATAAACGTAACAGGGAGCCACTGGAGAGATGTAAGCAGAAGACATTTCAAAAACATCGCTCCGGCTGCTGGGGGGAAGCAGACCAAGCAGGGGCAAGGGGGCTCCTGCGGCGAGGCTCAGAGCCAGGGGGCCTTTCAGAGTTTGCTTTCCTCAACAGTTTCTTTGGATGCTCTGTCAGGCCTGAAGTCAACAATAGGAGCCCCTTTCCTGTAAGGACAGGGGAAACGGCTTTGGGCAGTCTAGATGGCAACTGTGCCACGTGGGAAAGCTACAATAATTCTCGTTCATCTTTGTCTCAGTTCAGAACCGCCACCCCCCATACCTTAAGTCATCAATGGAGGGAGCTTTCAAGCTCGGGGAATTTAAGGGACAAAATCAGGACTGGTTGAATGGCTTCCCATTCCACACATGTTTAGTGCTTCAGAAACTTGCCCACTTCATCCTTGTAACAACCAGAATCCACTTTAGAGATGAGGAGATGGAGGACTGAGGAGTCTACGTGATTCACCTAAAGCTGCTCATGAATCAAATGGGAGAAATAAGACTAAAACCTAGAGCGCTCCTCCAAAGTCCATATTCTTTTATTCTTCATTTTATTTGAAAGGTAGAGAAATGGAGAGGGAGAGGGTACAGAGAGGGGGAGAGAGAGAGAGAGAGAGAGAGAGAGAGGGCTTCCAGTTTACTCCCCACATGTCCCCACAGCCAGGACTGCACCAGGTCAAAGTCAGAAGTTGGGCCAGCGCCATGGCTCACTAAGCTAATCCTCCGCCTGCGGCACCGGCACGCCGGGTTCAGTCCCGGTTGGGGCTCCAGATTCTGTCCTGGTTGCTCCTCTTCCAGTCCAGCTCTCTGCTGTGGCCCAGGAGTGCAGTGGAGGATGGCCCAAGTCCTTGGGCCCTGCACCTGCATGGGAGACCAGGAGGAAGCACCTGGCTCCTGGCTTCAGATTGGCACAGCGCGCCGGCCACAGCAGCCACTTGGGGGGTGAACCAATGGAAAAGGAAGACCTTTTTCTCTGTCTCTCTCTTTCACTGTCTAACTCTGCCTGTCAAAAAAAAAAAAAAAAAGTCAGAAGTTGGGAATTCAATCCAAGTTTCCCACAGGAGTGACAGGTACCCATGTACTAGAACCACGTGCTGTCCCCCAGGATATACATTAGCAGAAAGCTGGACTGGAAGTGAAGGAATCAGGACTCGAACCATGCACTCTGGTATGTGATGTGGGTGTCCCAAGCAGCGTCTTAGCCACAGCACCAGATGGCCAGCCCTTAAGTGCACGTTCTTAATCACAGTGATATGCTGCCTGGCCAGAATGCTGCGTATAAATAGAATTAGGCCATTCTAAAATTATTATGCCCTTGGTACTATTCAGCGCGCAATATTAGTGTTAATTCCTTCCCTTAAAACTGGGTTCCATGGATTTTAAAAGTCTAAAAGAACATGGATTCCTCAATATGAAAATGAGAAATTGAACAATTTCTTCCCATTGTCTGTCTTGACTCCCTAATCCTGTTTCTAGATAAATGAGGTGCTTGAAGATTTTCAGGGACAGATTTTCAGCAGTTAGGATACTGCTTGAGACGCCTGCATCCCATATTCAAGTGCCTGCTCCACTCCTGATTCCTGCTTCCTGGCAGCAGATGATGGCCAGAACCTGGGGTTCCTAAAAAAAAGAACTTAGGGTTCCTGCCACTCACATGAGACCAGGACTGGCTCCTGGCTTCAGCCTGGCTCTGTCACAGCTACTGTGTCCATCTGGGGAGTGAGCCATTGGAGCTCCCTTTCTCCCTCTGCCTTTCAAATACATTCTTGAAAGATTTTCAGGGAAGGGTGGACAGCAACGTGGGTCCATTTTAAGCATGGGGTGAGGGTGCCTACTCCCTGAAGATGCGGGTGTGTTTCCGGACAGGCTGCTGCTGTCAGAATCCACGTGGACGCTAACACTGTTAAGACCATGCCAAGAACAAAGGGAGGGAAACGGAAAACGAAAGGGGCACCGCTGCCCATCGCTCTGATTCTGCAGAAGCTCCTGAAAACGTACGAGAAGCACTGTGCACAATCCCAGACGTCCATGTGCCCAGCCGTCAGACGGGACCTGAAAAGCAGCATCAACAGTGAGCAGGTTCTCAGGAAGGTGAGCGGTGGGCTGCCCTCCCCATCCTTCTCTAATACAGACTGACTGTGGCTACCCCTCCCCCCATCCCTGGGGCCCAAAGCCACTCAGTGCTCCTGACCCAGTGAAGTCCAAAGCCTCGCTCGCTGGGGCACCGAGGGCCTGCTCAGCCTTGCTCTACTCTGCCCACTCCACCCTGCCTTTTCCCCCACGGCTTCTCACCTGGAACGGCCACTGGGCACTGGGCACTGGGCACTTCCTCTTACTCTACATCGGGCAGCCCCAGGTAGAGGGTCACCACCCCCATCATCTTGCAGGATCTCAGCTAACATCCCCCGCCTTGGCTGCTGCCCCCAGCCTCCTGCCAGACCCGCACTGAGCTGCTCTCCATGTGAGCCCGTCTCACTTGCAGCGGGGTCTGCAAACACAGGATGCTGACTCCAAAAGCGTTCATTTTCGGACAAAATTCTGATGTCACTTCTCCTTTGAGGGTCCACCTTAGGCCCAGGAGTGGGCGGGGGCGGGGGAGAGCCTCACGCCAAAGCAGAACATGCAACTCTGACAAAGGGGGTGCCTGTAGGACCACAAGACCTATAATAGGACCTCTGTGCCCCAAAGACAGCAGCCCAGCCTCACCGCTCTTCTGCCACCAGCTCAGAAGGGCCATCCACGTTTTAACCATCAAATCCCAACTGATTTCCCAGCCTGCTGAGTGCTAACCAAGGCACCAAAGTTAACATCAGTACATAAAGATGGAGCTTTTAGTTTTTAAAGATTGTTATTTATTTGAAAGGCAGAGCTAGAGAGAGAAGGAAAGAGACAGATGGAAATCTTCCAACCACTGGATCATTCCACAAAATGGCAGCAACAGCTAGGTCTGGGCCATTACAAAGCCAGGAACCAGGACCTATATCCGGGTCTCCCACATGGGTGGCAGGAGCCCAAGCACTTGGGCCATCTGCTGCTGCTTTCCCAGTAGCAGTAGCAGGGATCTGCACTTACCCCTGCTCACCCCAACAGAGGAGCTTCTTGGAGCTGTCCATCTGTAGTAAAATAATTACTGTATTGATTGTAGTTCACATAATTAGCCTCTACCACTTAACCCTAAGGGTTCATCATAAATCTTGCTCAAGCTGGTCACTTCTGTTGTGTTTTCTAAACTTATTTTTCATCACAACCACCCTCAGAAATGCAACTAACATCCTAACCCAGTGTAGAGATGAGTACCAGCTGTATGGTGAGACCATAAGGGCTGTCTGTAGCATGAGTTGCTTGGGGGTCTCTACTCTGACTTTTGAATGTCACAGAAATAAGTCTCAAGAGACAATCACTATCATCTTGACTCTGTAAGATGTGCTCAGTTAACTTTTCTATTTAAAAAAAAAAAAAAACTGAATCTACTAAATGGGTTTTCTGATCCCATAAGGGATAGTCACCTGTTGAAAGTGTTTGACCCTGGGCTGGCACTCTGGCATAGGTTAAGCTTCCGCCTGTGGTGCCAGCATCCCGTATGGGTGCCAGCTCATGTTCTGGCTGCTCCTCTTCCGATCCAGCTCTCTGCTAATGGCCCGACTGCTTGGGCCCCTGCATCTGCGTGGGAGACTCGAGAGAAGCTCCCGGCCTCAAGTCGGTCCAGCTCCAGCTGTTGTCTCCATCTGGGGAGTAAACCAGCAGATGGAAGACCTCTCTCTTTCTCCCTCTGTCTGTAACTGTGCATCTCAAAAAAATAAATCTTTAAAAAAGAAAAGAAAGTGTTTGGCCCTGTAGGAATTGTCACACACACACAGCAGGAACTTCAGAAGTAAGTGTTGGGTTACCTCCCCTGAGGCACACCTGAGCCAGTCAACAGCCCTTTTAGGTGTTCTTCTGAGGTTGAGGACAGCATCCCCTTCCACATGTCCAGATGCCTGGACTTGGCGTCATGATGTCACCAGTTGTTTATCTTACCTTCCAGTTCATGCTCGTAAGACCCAGTGACCCCCGGACAAGCGTCCTACCCATCTCCTTGGAACCTTTGCTCATGGCGATCCGAGACGAGAGCTACACGCTGGGAAAGGAGATGTGCATCTGGGGCCTTCGGCTGAGCAACCCCGAGGTTGCCAGACTCGTGAGTCATGGTCTTAAAATACTTCTCGAACCTTGAAATGGAATATAAGCACATGATAGCACAGGTTCCAACTGTAGTTCTTTTGTTGCTGCCTGATAGGCTGCAAGGTTTTCTTTCTAAAAAGAAAATACCATGTTTTTAATGAGTTACTTTGAACTTACACAAAAATGCAGAAAATATTAGAACTGACAATTGTGTGTCTACTACCCAGATGGAACATAGTATTTTTAAGGAATAAAGTTTTTAGGTATTTACAAATACGATAGCTAATGGTTCCTTTCACTTCTCTTCCCCCATCTACTTCCTAGAGGTATCACTAGTATAAAATTGATGCGTAATATGTTTATATTTTTGTTACATATGCATTTTCTTGCATAAACAAAATTGTACTGCCATGTGTGTGATTTTGTGGCTTTTTTGTTCAAGTGTCATCAAGATTTCTCCAGTTCATTAATCTTGACACTTCTCATATCACACAATGCCTTCATTCGTGAAAGAGTTTTGCTGGATATACAATTATGGATTAATCATCTTTAAAAATTGAACTTTCATATCTTTACTTAGTATATATATATGCATGCATATATATTTATATATGTATATAAAGTTAAATTAAAAAATTAATCTTAAGAATGGGATAGGAGAGGGAGTAGGAGGTGGGTCGGGAGTGGGGGTGGGAAGGTGAGTATGGGGGAAAGAACCACTATATTCCTAAAGTTGTACCTATGAAATTTGCATTCATTAAATAAAAGCTTTAAAAAACAATTGAGCTTCCATTACTGCTAGTAAGAAGTCATATACATACATAGCCCAGGGGAATTCCAAGATGGCAGAAGAGGGAGCGACTTGCTGTGCTAGGCTAGGGATAAATAGTATCAAAAAAAAAGTGTAGGAAGTACATTCTCGGAGAGGAAGTGGAGAGAAAAGAGCAGGGCCAAATTATTCCTTATCAATAGTCACCTTGAATTTAAATGGCCTAACTCTATAGTTAATAGATTAACTGGCTGAATGGATCAAAACACAAGACCCATGAATTAGCTGCCTACAAGAAACACACCTCACCAACAAAGATACACACAGACTCAAAGTGAAAGGGTGGAAAAAGATATTCCATGCTAACAGAAACCAAAAAAGGGCAGCTGTGGCCATCCTAATATCAGATAAAATAGACTTTAACACAAAATTGAAAGAGATAAAGAAGGGCATTGTATAATGATTAAGGGATCAATTCAACAGGAAGGTATGACTATTATTAATGTATGCATATGCAATTACAGAGTGCCTGGCTATTTAAAAGAAATGCTAATGGATCTAAAAGGAGACATAAACTCCAATACAATAGTAACAGGGTACTTCAACATCCCACTTTCATTAATGGACAGATCAACTAGACAGAAAATCAGCAAAGAAACAACAGAGCTAATCAACACTATAGACCAAATGAAACCATCAACAGAACTTTTCATCTCACGGTTACAGAACACACATTCTTCTCATCAGTGCATGGAATTCTCTAGGAATAGACCAACATTCTCTAGGAATAGACCATATGCTAGGCCAAAAAACAAGTCTTAGCAAATTCAAAAAAATCAAAATCATACTATTCCAATTCTTCTCAAGCTATTCAAAACAATTGAAATGGAGAGAATATTACCAAACTCTTTCTATGAGGCCAGCATCATCCAAATTCCTAAACCAGAAAAAAAAATACAACAGAGAAAGAGAACTACAGACCAGTATGTATCCCTGATGAACACGGATGTAAACATCCTCAACAAAAATACTAGCTAATCAAATTCAACAACATATCAGAAAGATAATTCACCCGGACCAAGTGGGATTTATCCCTGGTATCCTGGATGGTTCAACATTAGCAAATCAATCAATGTGATACATCACGTTAACAAATTGAAGAACAAAAATGATGTGATTATCTCAACAGATACAGAGAAAGCATCTGGTAAAATATAATATCACTTCATCATGAAAATCTTAAGCAAACTGGGTATAGAAGGAACATTCCTCAACACAATCAAGGCAATTTATGACAAACCCACAGCCAGCATACTATTGACTGGGGAAAAGTTATAAGCATTCCCCCTAAGATTTGGAACCAGACAAGGATGCCTACTCTCACCAGTGCTATTCAATATAGTCCTGAATGTTTCAGCCAGAGCCAATGGGCAAGAAAAAGAAATCAAAGGGATACAAATTGGAAAGGCAGAAGTCGAACTATCTCTATTTGCAGATGACATGATTCCATTTATAGGGGAACCAAAAGACTTCACTAGAGACTATCAGAACTCATAAAAGAGTTTGGTAAAATTGCAGGCTGTAAAATTAACACAAAAAATCAATAGCCTCAATAGCTTTTGTATACACAGACAATGCTATGGCTGAGAAAGACTTCTAAGAATGACCCCATTCACAATAGCTACAAAAAAGTTAAATACCTTGGAATAAATTTAACCAAGGAGGTCAAAGATCTTTACAAATAAAATTACAAAACATTAAAGAAAAAGGCAAAAAACTGGAAAAATCTTCCATGTTCATGGATTTAAGAATCAATATCATCAAAATGTCCATACTTCTGAAAGCAATTTAGATTCAGTGTGATCCCAATCAAAATGCCAACAACATCCCTCTCAGAGTTAGAAAAAAATGATGCTAAAATTCATGTGGAAACACAAGAAACCCCAAATAGCTAAAGCAATCTTGTACAACAAAAACAAAGTGAGAGGCATCACAGATTTCAAGACATACACAAGGCAATTATCATCAAAACAGCCTGGTGCTGGCACAAAAACAGATATGTTGACCAACAGAACAGAAACTCCAGAACTCAATTCACCCATATACAATCAACTTATCTTTGACAAATTAGCTGAAATCAATTCCTGGATCAAGGACAGTCTCTTTAACAAATGGTGCTGAGAAAATTGAACCTCCACGTGCAGAAGTATGAAACTAGACTCATACCTTACACCTTACACAAAAAAAGTCCACTCAAAATGTATCAAGGACCTAAATCTACAACCCGATACCATCGAATTACTAGAGAACAGTGGTGAAACTCTGAAAGACTTTGGCATAGGCAAAGACTTCTTGGAAAAGACCTCAGAAGCACAGGCAATCAAAGCCAAAATTGACAAATGGGGATATATCAAACTGAGAAGCTTCTGTACTGCAAAAGAAACGCTGAGCAAAGTAAAGAGGCAACTGACAGAATGAGTAAAAATATTTGCAAACTATGAAACTGATAAAGGGTTAATACCCAGAATCTATAAAGAGCTCCAGAAATTCAACAGGAATAAAACAAAAAGTCCAGTTAACAAATAGGCAAATGACTTGAATAGGCATTTTTCAAGAAAGGAAATTCAAATGGCTAAGAAACACTCAGGATCACTAGCCACCAGGGAAATGTAAATCAAAATCACAATTAGGTTTCACCTCACACCAGTATGAATGGCTTTCATACAGAAATCAACAAACAACAAATACTGGTGAAGATGTGAATTTTAAAAAAGGTACCTAATCCACTATTGGTGGGAATGTAAACCAGTAAAGCCACTGTGGAAGACAATATGGAGATACCTCAAAAATCTGCATAGAGACCTATCATATGAACCAACCATCCCACTCCTGGGAATTTACCCAAACAAAAAGAAATCAGCATATTCAAGAGCTATCTGTACCCCATGTTCATTGCAGTTCAATTCACAATAGCTAAGAATCAACCCAAATGTCCATCAACTGATGACTAGATATAGAAATTATGCTCTGTGTGTGTGTGTGTGTGTGTAAAATGGCATATTACTCAGCTATAAAAAATGAAATCCTGTGTTTTTCAACAAAATGGATGCAACTGGAAACCTATTATACTTAGAGAAATAAGCCAATCCCAAAATGACAGATATCATGTTTTCCCTGATCCAGGGCAACTACTAGGGTACTCAAAATATAATGTATTGGAGTGAAATGAACATGCTGAGATTCAATGATTCTTTACAGCCCTTGTCTCTTCTGTTGAGGAACAGTGTTTTCTTCATACTATTTGTTGAACTCTTTACTTAGTGCATGGCTAACCTTCTAAGTGTTAAGTAAACTGAAAATAGATCTTTGTAAAAATTAAGAGTGGAAATAGGAGAGGGAGGAGGAAGAAGGGTTGAAGTATGGGTAGAGGGGGGGGTAAGGTAGGGTAGGAAGTAGCACTATGTTCCTAAATCTGTATATATGAAATACATGAAACATGTGAACTTAATAAAAATTTTTAAAAAGAAGTCATATACTGGGGGCCAGCATTGTGGTGCATCAGGTTAAACTGCTACCTGCAAAGCCAGCATATCCTATCAGAGTGCCAGTGCTGCACTTCGGATCCAGCACCCTGCTAATACACCTGGGAAGGCAGCACCAAGTGTTCAGGTCCCTGGCACCCATGTGGGAGACCTGGCCTAGCCCCGACTGCGGCAGTCACTTGGGGAGTAAATCAGAGGATGGAAGATTTCTCCCCTTCCCTCTCTTTAACTCTGCTTTTCAAATAAGTAAATAAATAAATCTTTTTTTTTTAAAAATAAGTCCTATAAAGGACCTTACTTCTAGAAATGTCAGATAATTCAGGCCAATCATGCAAGGAAGGCTGGAGATCCAGGGAGGAGCATGCTGCAGGGGCAAGTGAGTCAAAGAAAGCAGTTGAGAGGCTGAAGAGCTAAGTAGTACTTTTGACAATCATTTTTTAAAAATACTTATTTTAATCTACATGAAAGGCAGAATGACAGAGAGAGAGAGACAAGGATGATGCGGAGGAAGGGGGTGGGGAGAGGGAGGGAGGGAGAAAAGGAGGGAGGGAGGGAGGGAATACGAATATCCTCACCTACTAGTTCACTTCTCAAATACCAGCATCAGCCAGGGTTGGGCCAGGCTGAAGCCAGAAACCAGGAGCTCCATCTGGGTCTCCTGCATGGGTAGCAGGGACCCAAGCACTTGAGCTCCCATCCACTGCC